AAACACAACAATCTGACTATCCACCAAATATTGAGCAGTTTGCCCTGTTTTTGCTACAAGATACCTGAAGATAAACTGTGATGTGAACTGTGCTCTCAGACTGAAGAAGTCTCTTGGAGGAGAGACGAAACGTTTCATTAGAGAAGAACCCGTCCAGAAGACCTATACAATTTTTTTTCTTTTTGATTTTTTACCTGGATTACTGAGATGCATCAGGACATTAATCGCGATTAAAATTTTTAATCTATGCCCATGCAGCACTAAAATTAATCTGAGTTAACTCGATTAATTTCACAGTCCTGATTTTTTTTATTATTTACTTGAAAAACCAGATTTACCAGGCATATTAATTGTATTATTTTGCGCAAAGTATCAGTATTAGATGCAGTATTGTCTATGCCTGCCTGAGTTTTACTCTATATCAAAAAGGGAACCAGTGGTATGGAACAATCACTGGTCCATAAACACTACAAAAAGGACTGGAGATGAAGGACACCCCTGGCAGAGTCCAACCAACCTTAGAAACTAGCTGGACTTTGTATTGACGGTATGGACACAGCTCCTGCTTTATACACAAACCACACAGATATCTCTTAAAAGTGGGCCCAGCAACTCATACCCTCACACAACTGGGCTGATTGAGACCAAAGGTCAGCGAGTTCAACAGTTATCCAGGTTTGGGTTGTTTTATTTTTGTGTGTTTAGATTTGGGGTCAAGTTGGGTATGGAAAAGTCAATTTTTGGCATTTGACTGATGACGGCACGTTTATCTTGATTTTGATTTACTCTAAAAGTTAATCATTTGTAGAGTGACATCTACCAGTTACTGCCTGGAAGTTGAATAAAATTGATCATGAGATATTTTGCGAACAGACACAGGCTGAACACTTTAGGACGACTAAAATATCTTAAAACAGAGTGCTGCTGCAAGAAATCTGTTCATTTACAAGGTGCAACTGTTTTCTGAGGGAACTTGGACTGAAATTGGCTAATTATTCACTTTCAGTTTATTTCATATAAGAAACTATAAATAAGGAAGTCATTTAATTGCATGTGAATGTGAGTACATTGTATTAGTTTGGTTGACTGTTAGCAACATATCTCATGAACCAAATGAAGCTTGATGAAACTACAATTGGTTCACCTTTGGGGTCAATCCAGTTCAAAATGGCTGCCACAGCTCATCAGCTGTATCAAACACATCAACGCTTCTGACTCTCTCGCTTTTAAAGATATTGAGCTGAAATTTGGTGTGGTGGTAGCTGAGAGTCATCCACATCATGTAACCTGAGCAATAACAGGTCATGTGATTTTTTTTTTGATGAGAAAAACTCTAACATTTACTGTCGTAGTCGACTCTGCCTGTCTGTTAGCAACATATTTCATGAACCACTGGGCAGATGTTCATGAAACTCTCAGATAGTAACTATTGGATGAAAGTCTTTAACTGATTACATTTTGGAGTCAGTTCAATTCAAGATGGCTCCTACAGCTAACCAAGCTTATCAAACAGAAAAACAGCTATAACTCTAATTATTTTACAGATATTGAACTGAAGCAAGGCGTGGTAGTAGATGAGAGTCACCCTCAACAAATAACCTGAGTGACAACAAATTGCACAAGACTTGTTTTATAATTTTTTGCCATTCAAGGTAGTTATTTTATTTGTTTAATCTTTTGGTTCTAAACTAGGATTATTTTACAACCACTTATGTTGTTGTAAATGTGTTCTTTGTGTGCGCGTAGCTAAAATGTGAAAGTAGAAATTAATATCTACATATGTTTTTAAAAAAATGTCAATAAAAAATTTTGAAAGAAGCCCCGCCCATTTCCGTGAAGTTGCCATGGCAAACGTCGACGTCACGGCATGAGGAAGACCGTGTATAAGTATTGGAGGTTCAGACGCGGCGGCTCGGTTGCACGGATGTGTGCTTGGAGGGAGTGACACGTGCCGAAAATAAAAATAAAAACAATAAAATAAAATAAAAAGACATTTAAAAAACGCGCACATCCAGGAGTTCAACTTTCTTTTTCTTAGCTTTTTTTTTTCCTTATTAAAACCGCACGTCCTTTTTTTTAAAAGGAGGAATTTCATTTCTTCAGTTTTTACTTGAACTAGAAATAAATCCGCATCTTGGCAACAATGGGAAGAGGGGTGAGTATAAACTTTTAATTCATCGCCTAGCACGACTAACTTCGCTTTGTCTTTTGTGAGCAGAGGGGAGATGGGTTTTAAAGTTCGTGGGGGGAGAAAAAGGTTCGTGTCTAATCGTGATGGAGGGCAGAGGTGGAGCTTAGTATGTGTTCAAGAAAAGCCACATTTCTCTCAAAACAAAATGCCCGCCGGAGGCACTTCCGCCTCATTAAACAGGTCCCCACTTCAGCACGTTTTCTCTGTGGGGAAACAGGGGGTAAAAATCAGAGGTCTGCACGCAGAGACGTGCTGCACAGTGCTCGGTCACAGAACGGGGATGTGAAAGTTCTGGCGTTGCCCGCCACCCTGCAGCTTTGCTGGGAGTCTGGACCGAGAAAATAACGGGACTTTAAAGCGTGCAGGGCCAACTGGTAGCTCTGAGTCGAGTTTTAAAGCGCTTCAAACTTGAATAAACCCGTGAAACTTGGCTACACTTGATTAAAACTCTTTGTTTTGCAGTTTTCTAGCATTTGGTGTTATGTTTGTAAAGTTTTTTTTTCTCCTCTGCTTTGACTAATAAAACAAATCTGACGTCATATAGTGAAGCTGACTGGTAAAAAGTAATGCCCACCAGCATCACCAGCACCACCAAAAGAGATGATCTTCCTCTTTAATCTTTCTGCTGGACGGGTCAAAGTGTCCCAGGAGGTGTCAGGTTTTAAAACTTAAAAGAAAACTTTATTGTGAACATCCTGTGCTCTTGTTTCCTCTAAATGAATCTGATGTGTCCAACCCATCTCGCCACATTAACAGTGTTTCCGTTTTGTTATTGTTTCTGTTGTTTTCCCCCCATCGACGTGAGCGGCGAGGGAACGAAATCGAACCCCCGCCGTGTGAAATATCAGTTGCCGCCACACCCTGCCATTCTGCGCTGTGGAAACACTGGTTATACATTCATTCAGCCCGGGAGGGAGGAAGATGGTGAAGAGGCAGCTGAAGAAGGATCGCAGAGATCTGGCGGGAAGATGTGAGGCAGGATTTGTCATTCAGCCTGTCCTCCACGCTCATTTATAAAAAAATCTTTACTCAGTTTCTCTGCTGCTGCCTCTTTTTTTCTTCACCCTCCCCCTTTCTTTGCTCCCATATGTGATGAAAGCCTTGCCCTGCCCCCATCCAATCCAACCTCCCTCCTCATCCCCTCTCCAGTCCTCTCCTCCAACACAATGTGGACGAAGCAATCGCCGCTAAGGAGGCTTCCTGTGGAGAGGAAGGATGAGAACTTGTTCAGCTGTAATGGAGAAGATCTAGGGTGACAAAGGGAGAGGGTGGGGGGGGGGTTACAGGTGCGACGAGGGGGTCTCGTTGCGAAGATTATGTTCCCCGTTCATCTCATGTTTAAACATCACACCCCCGACACGATAGTGAGCAGAGAGGAGTGAAAACGGGCTCAGATTGCTTGGGATAAAGAAAACGAGGAGGTTATAGCCTGGAGGCACCAGTTGCCGCATTACCACCGCTGGAACAACTTGACACCCAGACACGAGGGAGGGAAGATGTTCTGCGCATCAGCTGTCAGTAGTTGGGAGTGTTGACTTGTGGGGTGGTGGGGGGTTCAATGATTCGTCTTTTTTTTCTGTTCAAAAGGATGTTAAAGCGGAGAGCTGATAGAGATCTGAAACCCCAGAAACAAAATGAGGCCAGGGCGACACAAGCTCTTTGCTTTTTAATGAGGCAGCCATGCGGTGCGGAAGAACTCAACAAACCGATGAGGCGAAGCTTAACGGAGGGTTTTCATTACCGCGCCGGGCTTTTGTTTGTCTTCTGGGCTGACTCGTAAACTGAAACACAATCATGAGGTCTTTAGCTCTTCAGACACCCTTTTCGTCCAGTTTTAGACGCTTTTGCTGCGTTGCATCAGCTCTACGGGGGATTAAATGAACAAACTTGATTCAAGTTGGACGTTTTGTGAAAAGAACGTCCACATGTATGAACGTGACGAAACGAAAAAGGTGAAGGAATTCAGGCTTGAAAGACTGACATCGGTTGAGGTGGAAGTTCTGACAGAGCAAGCGGCTGTTTCAGTTTAAGAGCAATTGAAACCAATACCTGCTGAAATAACAGAATGAGCACAGTGTACAAAATATCGATACACTGAAATATGGCGATATTTCATTTCCTGATACTGTATCGATATTCTAAAGCCCTGTATCGATTTTTTATTAAGGTTTAAAATGTCAACTTTCCTGCCAGCCGTTCATTTTAATGTTGTACTTCAGCGTCTGACCACTAGTTGGCAGCAGTGAGCCAGCCATTTGGCTCCTCTACCTCTTGAGGTAGAGGCTGTATTGTTAAGCGTTGGGTGACCATTTTGTAAATTAACGTTAAAAACTAAAAGCTGTAAAAAATGCATTTTAAAACTATTTATTGGCAAAATTTAGTCTAATAATTGAAAACATGGATGAAATAAGAAATATGAAACAAATAAAATAAAACACATACAAAGCTGAACACAGCTAAATGTATCAAAAGTGTGTTTATGTAATATTAGAATTTTCTGAGACAATGAATTTTGGTTTTTCTTTTTTTTCCAGTAAGAGGTTTTTATTTAATAGAATTTTTGGACAAAAAAATCGCAATATACCACCTTGCTTACAGTATCGCAATATATCGGGATGTATCGTATCGTGACCCCTCTGTCATGATTTGTATCGTATCGCCAAATTCTTGTCAATACACAGCCCTAGTACCCCTTTATATTTTCATCATTACATGGCCTTGGCAGCCTAGTTTTGTTTCAAGATAATATCGCCCTGTCTGCTTTTATTTTACGAATGTCAATCGCAATGGAAGGTCTTAGACTTGACGCTTGAATTTTAAAAGATTTGCGCAACCAATTTTTTATTTTTCAAGTCAGTCGCAGTTGTTGCAGCTGTCTCAACCCATTCTCAATTTAGTATTAATGTAACACCTGAATTGGAACTCTCAAATGACAGAAAACATCTGAAGCTAACGGGGTGGGCGTTACTAGGAATTTTGGTATCAATTCGATACCAAGTAAATACAAGGCTAGTACTGCACATACCGATACTTGTCATGTTCGACAAATAATCTAGTGATTTTTGTCTGTAGTAAGTCAATGATATAACACAGGACAAAGGTTTTGGTGAATTAAAAATGTTTTTATAATTAGGAGACTCTGCACTGCTGACTTTGTTTATTGGTTTATTCTTGTAATATATTCAGTAGTGCAAACTAGACACCGCATAGCGGTAACATAATGACCCCCGCACGCACAAATGCACCAGAACTCAGAAGTCTTTATTCCTAATAAATGTCATGCTACTAGGTGCATCCCAAAATTGTAGTGGCTTGGGGGGGTCTTTTTTGTTGGGGGCATTGGTTAACCTGATGGATAGCCCCTCATCAGAGCTAAACAATCAAAGAAAATCTGAAGCTCCTATGTTTAATAGTTTTTGAGCTATAACCATTTTTGTATGTCCAGATACCACTTTTTCAGATAAATTGGGTGTCCATCGAGGGGTTGGGGTGTTTGGGGGGGCACTGGTTGGTGGGCCTGATGGATAGAGCTTCATCAGAGCTAAACCACAAAAGAAATCTGAAGTTTCTATGTTGAACAGTTTCTGAGTTAGAAGCATTTTTGCATGTCCAGACACCCCCTCTTTAGAAGGAGCCCCCTCCTCAAATGTGGGGTGTATCGTAAAACCGTTGGCTGGCGCAGTGTAGATCAGACTCTTCTACAGTCCTGCTAAATTTCATGTTGATCGGTGCAGCCGTTTTTGTACTACGGTTGACCAAAAATCACTGAGAAAATAAATAAAAAAGTAAACCATACAAAAACAATATGATTCCCGCTTATGCTTCACGTGCGAGGGTCATAATAAATCGGAAACAAAAGTGTAGATCTTATCACATTAGTATAGATCCAATACCCATTCTCATCTTGGTATCGATGTTATCCACGTTTAGATTGATATGCAATACCATTGAGGCTACAGCTTTAAAAACAGGCCAACTGAGTGAAGGAAGTCGGGTTTTAAATTAATGTGCGTGGCCAAGAATACAGTTGATTTCAAACATTCACAATTCAGTTCGACTGCAGTAGAAAATTTGCCATCATCTCGCAATTTGGAGTCCTCACCTAGTCTCAACTAATCACAGCCCAGTGAGACATTTAATCCTCAATGTAGAAGTAAAGATCACCTCAAACGGGTTATTAGAAGCAGTGGATGTTGGGTTGTGTTACAGTTCTAGTTTGTTTTGTTGTTGTTCTGTTGTTTTTCATAAACTTGAATGGTGACCCTTGACCCAAGACACACTCAAACTCCTTCAAAAAGCCTGTTAGGGTTAGCTCATGAGTTGTGGTGCCTCGCTTTGGTGTCGCTGTTGATTTGCAGGACGCTTGTAGATATTTAAAAGTAAAAATGCATTCATTTGTTTTAACTTCTGAGGAAGAGAGAAAGGAAATCCAATAAGCTGTGTTTCCCAAAGTTGGGGTCGGGACCCAAAGTGGGGTCCCAAAACATCAAGGTGGGGTCCTGAAAAGATTTTCGGAATTAATTACATTTTTGCCTTAGTTG